AGCCTCAATGACAGTGGCCAATGGCAAGGTTGGCACTCGTGGTCGTGGCGAGGCACGAGGGCAGGGCAGGAGGCAACAGCTGGACCGACTTTGAGAAGGAGGGCATCTCGGGCAAGGCGGCTACGGCGGCTTTGGGCTACATCCAGGAGGTTGACAAGATCCAAGGAAACGGGGCTCAGGACTGGCAAGCCGTGCGAGAACGGGGAGATCTGCTGTTGGACCTGACAGGCTCAGTTGAGAAGGCAGCGATGGCACTTTGGGTGGCGCGGGAGCAGTTGGGCCGGAACAATTTGCAAGGGGCCGATAGTGAGGAGCTCACGAAGTTGTTGCATCCAGATCATTTGGCCTACCTTCGAGATATCCGAGCTCAAGGCATGCCCGCCAGGTACCAAGGGCAGAGGGAGCGAGTGACGACCCGACCACACCCGCGGGCGAGGGCAGATATGGGCCAAGTGTACGTCCAGTTGATGAAGGACATCGCAAAGCACCGAGTTCTGGTCGCCTCAGCGAGCCATTCAGCCCTGAAGCATACGGTCTCCTCACCCTTTGAACTGGTTCCCAAGATGCTACCGAATCGGCCCTTGTCAACCGAAGCTAGGCTGGTGCATGATCAACGGCAGGTCAATGGAGGAACCCACAAGGATCTTCACCCGCCTGCGGCACAGCCGACCCATGAGCAGGTGGCAAGGCGCATTCTGTGGCTGAAGGCGAGATACCCCGGCATCAAGGTCGTTTTGGCAAAGAAAGACGTGGCTGGTGCCTTCAGATTACTATGGGTTGATCCCAGGGATGTGGAGCTGTTTGCGGGTGACGTCCCATGGAGGCCAGAGTTGATGGGACCGGGAGGGTCGGCGGCCAAGTTTCAAGGGCTGGGAGATCTTACGGTCATCTACCTGGTCTCGAGCTTTGGGTTCTCGGGCTCCCCGGGCGAATGGACGGCATGGGGGCGTGCTACGGAGGAAGTCCACCGCAACCTCCGCCCGATTGACAGCAGGAGAGATGGAGAGCTGCACTTCTGCGGGAAGATCTTGGTCGATGACATGGTGCCCGTGATGGGATTGAGGCCCTGGGTGTCCAGTGAGGTGTACGAGTGGGCGGTGACGCAACTCCTAGGGGAGAAGGCCATCAACAAGCTCAAGGATGCGGAAGAAGGGTGCTACCAGTAACCAGCAGACAGTCTGGGGCCTGATCATCGACGCGGACACGGAGAGGGTGTCCTTGCCCGAGGCCCGGATTCTCAAGGGTGCTTACTTGTTGGCTCAGCCGTGCTTCAACTACGGGGACAAAAACCTTCCCCTCAAGGAGCTACAACGATTCCGAGGTATCGCCAATGGTTGGAGCACCGTTGTCACTGGACTCAAGAACGAGCTCCGCAGTGCAGATGTGTTCCTTGGAGGAGTCGATGGAGGAGCCGCAGTTCAACCTAAACTAGCCCAGCCTGAAGGGTCCGAAGCTCGGGTGGATGAGGAGGAACGAAGTTGGGAGGCCCTTTGGGAGTTGTTCGAGGATTGCAGGTGGTTGTGTGCCCGTTCAGAGACGTGGGCTACGAAGTTTGGGGGCGACATCAGAGAGTTGCTCCCGCCTTTGGACCGCTTGGCCTTGCCTGGACAGCAAGGGGAAGGCCCGATCTTCGTCTCCTCTGACGCTACGCCGGAGGTGGTTGCAGCCATTGATTGGACCAATGGCCTGGCTTGTCGTGAGGATGTTGAGACCCTGAAGCCATGGATTCGGCAGGTTACAGAGGCCGAAGGGCAAGAGGGCGGCAAGCTCGCCATTCATTTGGGCGAGATGCTGAGCTTCGTGGCCTTTGCTTGCAAGGTTGGCCATTTGTGGGAGGGCAGAGTGGTCGTCTATGCAGGGGACAACAAGGTCGTCTACTTCTGGATTACCGGGAGGAAGAGTGGAGTCCGGGCCGGGAGATTGTTGATCCGTGTCTTGAACCTGGTTGAGAAGCGCCATCGCTGCCGCATCTTGGGGGGTTGGTGGAGGACCTTTCACAATGAAGATGCGGACGCCCTCACCCGTTTGGAGGAAAAGCAGGCGGACGAGCTTATGGTGAAGAAGGGTTGGGACAAGCTGGACATCAAGGAGAGCATCCACCAGGCCTTGGAGGACACGGAGCGGTTTGGCTTGTGCTTTTTGTCCTGGGCAGATCAGGAGGACAGATATGAGTTGATGAGGTTGAGGGAACTACGGGTCTTCAGAACCGTCCTCCGACAGCCAGCCGAGCTGAGAGAGGTAGAGGTGGTCGAATGGACCCCGGGCCAGCGATTTGTCAAGGACTTCGAATACTTCACTGGGGGAGCCAGGGATCCGGAGCACAAGGTCATAGCAGCCACCATCGGACCTGACCCGAAAGGAAGGCGAGTGGCGGAGTTCACGGCCTACCTCGACAGTGAGGTCTTTGACATTGCCGTCTTGGAGGGACCGACCGAGGTGCGATGGGCGCACCTGGAGCAATGGGCGAAGAGTGTGGGATGGAGCTGTGTGTTCCAGGAGTTCCTCACGTCCCAGCTTGGGGAAGCTATGGTGAGGAGAAGGGTCGCGGGCTTCGTTTTCCCCACGGAAAAGTCCTCAGAGGCGGTCGAGTTTTTGATGGTGAAGTCGGTTACTCCGCCAGCGATGGGGTCCTACTTGAAAAAGCTCAAGGAAGGCAATTGCGTTCAGACCGAACGGTATGAGGCGGCCATCAATGTGGGCCAAGAGGTCATGCTCCCGGTGGTGACAGCCCATGCGTGGATCAGGCAGGACGGAGAGAGGCAGAATGTCTATTCCTTGAGTGGACCTTGCCGGTGGCCCCTCACCGACTCCTCAGAGAAGGGCACGCAACGCATCCTAGTACAGGACAAGACCGCCCCGGTGGGCAAGGTGAGGAGCATCACGGGCGAGGAGGTGTGGGTGCTGCAGGGCAGGCGCCTGGACGAGTGGAGGAACCTGGTGGAGCTGATCGGGGAGAAGGAAGCGGAGAAGGAAGGCTGCCGGGCTACAGGCCGTCGAACTGCTCTGAGCCTGATCAGCACCGCTGCGGAGATTGTGAAAGAGGGTAAGGAAAGCAAGGCAGGGATGTGCCTCGACAAGGAGGATTACAAGTCATTGGGCATTTTGCTGCAGTGGCTGAGGAGATGGCGTCGTGGAGACTTCAGGCGAGCACTACCAGATCGTAAGGCTGGAGGCCGTGATGATCAGATGCGATCGGTGTGGTTCTGGGGTGAGGAGTTGTGGCTTGGCGCCCTCGAGGATGACGAGATGACCTTCGGAAGCAGTGAGGACCGGAAATGCGGAGGTCGCCGCAGGAAGGAGGTGAGGCCGGTGGAGGAGACCGGTGCTCGTTTCATCGACCTCGACCCGGACTTCAATCCAGATATGGAGATCCAGGCGCAGGTGGAGGAGTGGTTGGAAGCCCACTTGGTGGGTTTAAGGCAGCCAGCACCCAGAAAGCATATGCCACCGCTTGGGGCAAATGGTGTGATTGGAGCCGACGGCAAGGCTGGCTAACTCCTTTCCTCGACCACAATGGCGACCCGATCCACAATGAGAACAAGGTCCTGGGCTACCTGGGCTTCTTGGGATGGCTGAGTACGTCAGTTGCCACGATGAAGCAGGCAGTGTTCGCCATCAAGGACGCACGCAAGAGAGCCGGGCATGGTGACACGACGGTCAAGATGCACCGTCTTTGGATCGTTCTCAACTCGCTGGAGAAGAACTCAGTGAAGAAGCCAAGGCGGCTGGGTGTCACGGTCCAGATGATCAAGTGGCTTGGCAAACAGATGGCCTCAGGAGCGGACGCCATGGGCGAGCTCAAGGTTGACTGCAGGATGGTGCATGCAGCGGTGGTCACCGCCTGGTTCTTCATGCTTCGGGCCAGGGAGTTCTCTGACTCCAGCGGGGTGGATCAGGAGATGATCGTCAGGGGGCAAGATGTATCCCTCACAACTCGTGGCCAACCCGACGAGAATGATCCTCAGGAAGTGACCTTGCAGTTCCGCAAGACCAAGGCGGATCAAGAGGCCTTCGGGACGTGCAAGACGATGCTGAGGACGGAGGTCGAGTTCGTGTGTGTGGTCACTGCGCTTCACCGACTACGCGAAGTGGCACCGAGGAGGTTTGGGCGGGGCCCAGAGAGTCACATGCCCTTGTTCCGGTGGGCTTCGGGACCTGTCCTCAAGCGCTTGGAGGTCCAGAACCTTTTGCAGAGAGCGGCACGAGCTCTCGGCTTGCCGGCAGAGCGCTTCCAGTCCCATTCGCTACGAATTGGTGGAGCGTCGGCGCTTTACCAAGCCACCGGGGAGATTGAAGTGGTCAAGAGGACCGGACGATGGACATCGTCAGCGGTGCAGCGCTATCTACACGACTCGGGCGACGTCCTGTCAGGTTTGGCGCGGAAGATGGCCAATGTGGACCAGCGCGTGCATTACACCTGACGGGCAATGGAGCTGGCACACGGCCGACAGCAGTGAAGTGGGGAGGTGGCAGATGCCACAGGCGATTGACAGATCGCGTGGCTGGT